CTCAGGTGACTAGCCCTCTCAAGTTTTATTCCTAGGTGATGTTACTGTCTTTGTAACTCAAGATCTCTCACCTACTATTGCATTTCTTCTTTAGGTGCAAAGTGGGGATGCTTCAAATTTTATCAGACACATCAGGAAACAACATCTTCAAGTACATGTTCAGGGAAATTCCAGATCAAAGAAAGGTGCTTCCATCTATTAACATTTTTTTCCCCCTACTTGCAGCATCACTATTTTTGGTCCAACAACAAAACAGCAAACGTTGCCCAGTGCTTCATCTTGTGCCCCCAGATCACCGAGATGACTGTGGAGCTGTAAAGCCCTCACTACCTGTATGACCACTCGCCTCGCTTCCCATAGGAATACTCTGCTTATGTACCGCTTACAGCCCTAGCGCAGAGAGCAGCAATCGCAAAGAGGTGGCGGCCTCCCGCGGCAAGGGGCAGGAGAACAGGCAGGACCCAGCGGCCGTTCTGCTGGTTTGTCTTTGCCAGCCAGGAAAACAATCCATCGGAGGAAATCCTAGGGACAAACCAGGAACCCTGAGATGTCTTGACAGGCTGAGAGAGCTGGGCTGGGTCAGCCTGGGGGAGAGAAGGCTCCTTAAGGGGAGACCTTAGAGCAGCTCCAGTGCCTAAAGGGGCTGCAGGAAAGCTGGAGAGGGGCTTGGACAAGGGCCTGTAGGGACAGGCCAAGGGGAATGGCTTTAACCTGCCAGAGGGGAGACTGAGATGAGCTCTTAGGCAGAAGCTCTTCCCTGGGAGGGTGCTGAGGCGCTGGCACAGGGTGCCCAGAGAAGCTGTGGCTGCCCCATCCCTGGCAGTGTTCAAGGCCAGGTTGGACACAGGGGCTTGGAGCAAGCTGCTCTAGTGGAAGGGGTCCCTGCCTGTGGCAGGGGTTGGAGCTGGGTGAGCTTTAAGGTCCCTTCCAACCCAGTCTGTGATTCTCTGATTCTATTGACACTCATCAATGAAGGAAAAATGTCTATCCTGAAATGAAAATAGCTGCACCCCAAGCCCTCTTGCTTCTGATAAACTGGTAAGTTCTTCTGAATATTCTAATTGCCAAATCTTAGCACTGCAGATTTATGATGGGTTACACAACCTGAAGTCATCGCAGACAAATACTTTCCATGTTAAAAGACATGAACATTCATCAATGCTTCCCAATTCCCTAGTGTGGTTTACTAACCATTTAGAATGTGTAGTAAGACATAAAATACTGCCCAGAGGAAACTACAGAATCCGCTCATCAGGCTGCTAAGATCCTTTAAAAGATACTAAATACTATTATGTACAAAACCCCCACTTCACCTCTCTTACCTAATGTGAAGCCTCAAGGCTTTAAAATTACACTTGACCTTAAAACCTAATATTTAATATAATTTGATGGAAATCCAGTAGGAAAGCTGGAAATTTACTTGTAGGAGTAGAGGGAACATTAACCTGCTTATTATCATCATAAGAAAGCTCTGTATCTATAGCAAACTATCACCCAACACAGGATAACACAGCACTGCACAGAAACCTCCTACAAGTGGAATCCCTGTTAACATGAACATACTCAAAACCAGCTAGTCTGTGTCCCCGATTCAGCAGCAGATACCTGTCAACTAGCAAAGGCTTTTTACATGCAATAATCTGCTAATCTTTCACTGATCATCTACAGTCTTTTGCATAAATCTTCTAGCAAGAGTGAGCAGGTATAAGATAACACTGTGTGTGGAAGACGGTGAATTAGAGCGAGTGTCCTTAGGACATTACAGAAGTGTTTCAGGATAATTTAAAGGCCACAGTAAAATATTTTTTAAATTGAATCTAGATTTAAATAAAACAAGTTCCTCTGCTACCATATCTTACGTGCAGAGATAACTGAATGTTTTCATTTCCCCCATTCAATTCAGGTATGATGTACATACACAGATAGGATACAATATCCTCCACATCTGTGAACTGCTACATTCTGTAATTAAACTAATGAGCCTGATTATAGGTCAGAGCTGATGGCTAGAACCAGGCTACGTAAGATCATTTTGTCAGTGCTTTCAAAACCTGACTTGTAATGTTATAAATGTGCACACAGAATCTTGTAACACTGCCAGAATCAAATGGATAAACACCAAAGAGTAGACTTCAAATAAGACAACATTCCCCACGCAGAAAAGATGCATTATTGTGCTTAAGAATTAAGCATCACCATTGCAAAAAACCAAATAATTAGAAAGCAGCTCCGATACAGCCAGCCATTTTTACTCTGAAGTGCAAAGCAAAGGCCAGTGCTGTCACACAATTCCTTTTCAGCACAGCTATCCGAAACACTAACATATGTAACACTTCTCAAAATATTATTAAATAAGAAACATTTGTTGTCTCATTTCACCTTTCTGTTTCCATCCATACAGAACTACACACTCCATTTTATATTAAAGGTGCTGCAATCTAAGACAAACAATTTGCCAGCTCTTTACACTGAAAGATGCTGATAGCAAAAAACATGCAGAGAATCAGTTCTCCTGGCGTGCCTGGGATCTTCATCCTTGTCCCTCCCTCTACCATTATTACACAAGGCTCGCCTACTTCAAACTGAGTAGCATACAGTAAAGTTTCAGAAGTTTAGTACCCAATTTGTATACCTTCCCACTCTTCTCCAATCTTAAATCCTGATTATTTGAATTTTTGTGTGTCCAGGCAGGCTGCTTGCTTTGAAGCATGCAATGCCTGTTCTGCAGACAGGCCTTTGTCTGGAAGCAACGAAGCAACAGCACAGACTGCATTGCTGAACCAGCAGAATTCTCTACCCTATTTTTTAGTATTGCATATGGAGACCACTTCTGGTCAAGTTTATCTACTCCTGTTTCTGTCTTAAAATAAATTATAGATAAATCAAATTGGAATTGACTTCAAAAGTTTACTCACAAGTTCTTTTGCACATGGAGAAGGCAGGCTTAAGTCCCCTGCAGGTTTTGTTTAGCTACACACAGTTGCAGATACTATGATTACTGTATGAGACCACCAATGTCATTGCCAAAAATTTCTTAAAAGTTTAGAGTTTATAATATATCCCCTTCTTTTCAGCAACCCTACCCACATAACAAGTCCACTATCAAAAGCTCAATGTTTACTACACTATAAATATCATAATCTCAGAAATTATAGACTTTCAGGCAAAGATGTCACAATAAGTATTCAGCTTTAGATATTTTATGAGCAAAGATGTTTTAATGTGTCACATTTCAAAAGCATCAATCTTTCTTTACAAGAAAAGTCACTTCATAGTTTTGGAGCTAGAGAGGTCCACAAGACTTTCTGCAAATTAAAACTGCATGAAATACACGCATAATCCTTCATACATAAAATATTTTGCAATAGGGTTCAGAACACAGTAAGTGTTAAACAATACTTAAAAGTACCTGAAAAGACTCTCCCCTTGGAGAGAGATTCACGGAACATCCTCCTGGACAGCTGTGCAAGTTCTCAACACACACTTTTCTGTACAAGTGGTTTAAAAATCACACAGTAAATTCTGGAATAGTCAAAACAATGATTTGACAGAACAAGCATTCTACAGTAACCTCAATTCCATGTTATTTTGTTACAGTTATCGTGGCCTAAGCCCTCTGTACTGGTGCTCAGATTCATGGCCTCATCAATGCAACATCATCTGTCTCAAGAGATTAAACTTAGCTCTTGTAGTAAAGCCCAAATGGGTGACTGAATAAATTCAGCAGCTTTCCAGCACTGAGCCCCTTCCCTGCTATGCAACAAGACTCATTCAAATTTCAAATATTAAATAGCAGGCTTATCAAAGAGAGGTCCTGCATAAACAGCACAGTCAAAAGCTGTTATCAGATTTAGGAAGACCAGTGGCAGAAAACACATTAAGCGTTTTTGAAGGCAGAAGTTTACACCACCACTGCTACGGAGAAAGAGGAAAAATATTAAAATGAAAGAAACAGGTTAGTCATTTCAGTAACTGTGTTTTGTCATTCAATACAGAATAAAGCAAAACAGTTTATTTATGCAGTGATGAGGGAAAGTTGAGAGAGAAACTAAATTATGACCTGCCCCCTGAGAGATCAAGTCCAGAAATCAAGACCAGTACCTTAAAATTTATCTTTTCCTAGCATAAGATAATAAAGTTTTAACGTGTAATTGCTATTTCACAGTATTCTCTAAACCCAGAATTATAAACAGAGGTGTGCGTCTAGAAATTCAACAGCAATAAAATTGAGCTGAAGAAAACCACACTGCATAAGAACTAACTGGAGCTACACACTGGCTAGTAAACCAAATTAAGACAGAAAGGGTGGAAAGTTGATGGTTTGTTTTGTTTTTTTACCTACTGAGCTGCATATGGAGCCTACTCTAACTAGTGTGTGACTAGCAAACATAAAGGACTACAGAGCCCTGGGAGAGGTGGTTAGGGGCTCTGGAGCTCAGATTGTCTTTTCATCAATTCTCCAGGATACAGGGGTGACCTTACAAAAGCTAGGAGGACTGGCCAGGTTAATAAATGGTTAGAAGAGTGGTGTCATAGTCAGGGGTTTGGGTGTCTTGAACACGGCACTCAAGTTTGTAGGCCAGGTCTAGTGGGGGCTGGTGGAGCTGCTCGGTTTTGGTAGGAGGCTTGCCAGACTGGTCAAGGAGGCTTTAAACTAGATGTGTCGGGGGAGGGGGGCATCGTTCCATCCCAACACACCCAGTCAGTTGCCAGAACCTATAATAAAAGCTCGGAGAACTGTAGAGATATCCCAGCCGCTCCAGCCAATGAGCCGGCTTCAGTTGGAGCTCGGCCCAGATGCCTCTATACAAATGCCCAATGCATGCAGAACAAACAAGAGGAATTAGAGATGTGTGCACGTCTACGGGGGTATGATATAATAGGCATCACAGAAACATGGTGGGATGGCTCCTAGAACTGGAGTGTTGGGATGGAAGGTTACAGGCTCTTTAGAAAAGACAGGCCCTCTGTGGAGAGAAAAGACTAAAATCTACACACTCTTAGATTGACACTTGCTCTTTTTATAAGTACGCATATAAATCTGCTTTGGGTGAATTCATTTAATAGGAACATTTAAATTTGTTCCTGAAACTCCTGACCAAACAGTCTTCTTTGGTCCCTCACCCTAAATCCAACTTTCCATCATCAAGACCACAGATGTTAGAACTACAGATGTGCAAAAGACTCCTAGAATATTGGTTTCCTCCATTAAAAGACTACTTATTACAAAATAAGTGTAATCTCCAGAAAGTGCAATCTTCCTTCCTGGAAAGCCAGGTTTTGCCATGCCACAGTAGCCTGACAGGCAGGTCAGAACCAGCAGCAAACCTAGACTCTTGCAGTAGAAGTCAGTGTCAAACCCAGAACCTGGCTTAAATACCACACTTGGAACTTGACCAGTGAGTCACAGCATTGCCATCACAGCAGAAAGGGGTCTATGTACAGCTGCAACTCAGGTTCAACATTCTTAGCAGTAAGAATAAAAGAGTAAATCTACACTGACCAAATGAGTTCATTTTGGTAAAAAAGTGACCACCTTTATGACCACCTTTATGGACTACACTTCACATGCTACACTGTTCGGCTAGCCACAGATTCCACTCTCTGCTTCTCCTGTGCGTTTTCTTTTTTGCCCTACAGGTTATCTGAAAATTAAAAGCAAGACAAGAAATGCATACACAGAGAGTACTTTCAGAAATTCCTTAGTTTCTGCCCACTAGAATATAACTGGGATAACTGACATGTCTTGACATCTGCTTAGGAACACTTGTGACAGGTAAAATAACGTTTATTATCTACAGGTATCCAATCCAGCAAGTTTCTTCCTAGTCATCACTATATGTGAAGTGTGCTATTGCTAAATGAGCTATTTACAAATGTAAACTATGTAATTAAAGTTTTAAAATAAATAGACAGCCTTTACATTAGGTAGCAACCTGATGACAAGGTAACAGATCATCCAGTTACATCCTTCAAGGTGATCTGTGTATGCTACTCTTTTTTGTTTTTAATGGAGAAAATCCTTGGCTCACAATCTGCAAGAACTTCCTTGGATTTCTTCATTTATGCTGGATAATTATGTAAAAACTCCTTAAGTTTTGTTGGATAGTCTGTCATCACTCCAGTTGCTCCTAGATCAAATGCTCTCTTGTATTCTTGTTCTTCATTCAGTACCCAAATATACACCTGTAAAATGGGATAGAAAGACAAATTATTCCAGGAAATACTCAAAGAAATAAAAAAGGTGACTTTTGACTTAAATTATTTCATGTGAGAGATGACAACACATATATTTAAAACAATAAATTATTACATTCAGATGCCAAAGACAGACACACAAACACATCCAACTTCTCCCTTGCCCTCCAAATGGAGGCATTTTCTAGTGGTGATTCCAACTCCATTTCATTACTTTCATAGACTTCAGGTATTTGCATTCAATTATTTTGTTAAACCCCAGAACAGGTAAGCAGTTTAGCAGATTTTGTACATTTAAGTTTGAAGTGTTTGTGTGTGGATCTTAAAGAAATTTAAAGAGTTTTTTTCCAAACATGCAATTCTTGCTTTGCAGCAACAGAACTGCAAATATAAGAGCATAAGCTATTGCTCAGAAACCAAAAAGCAACACATAACCTAGCAACACACAGAACATGCTGGGGAGAACACAAACCCATCTTAAGGCCACATGCAGCTGGTTCAAATTCTCACTATGTTTAAAGCACATTTCCTTTCTCTTTGCCACACTGTACCTGAATGCCTCGAGCAGTGAGGTGGTCAAAAAGTGCTTTCCTCATCAGCAGTCTGCAGAAAGGAGCATGATTTTATTTAAGAACTTGAAGTATATATGAAATTTTCAATGCATGTTGATGCTCTGTAATGATTTTTTTTCATATAGCATTTACATTTAACGTTTTCCGAAAGAGATTAGAAACCTAATTATAGAAAACCTTTAGCTCAAGCAACTCAAGACTGATTAACACAGTACCCAGAAATCTGCATTAGCTATGGATATCTGTATCAACTCTTCTGCAGATCAAATCCAGCAGACTCCTTCATTGTACATGTACCCCACACCATGTCTGATGAATTAATCCCTTTGCTTTCAGAAGAGATTTTAACTCTACTGGCCACTTACGAAATCAAGCTGACAGATGTCAGACACAGAAGAGCCAGAAGAAACTAACTGCAACCACATTCAAAGTGCGTTACTAAGTTGCCTCTGAAGCATGGATATTCTTCAAATGCAAAGTGTTCCATGTGAGCCAAACAGCATCTCCTCTAACAACATTATGAAACAGTCACAATCCCATGAAACATGAAAGCTGCATTCTGAATCTACTTGCATGCTAATTAGCTGACCACAGTTAATGGCAAACGAAATAGACTAAATTGGAATAATGACCACTTACTGCACCTCAGTATGTTTCAGTTTATGAAAAACAAAAGCATACAGGAACGCCTACATAAGATTTAGGTATGATTTATCCTGTACTGACAAAAAAGCTAGAGGAAACTGAGAAAATAAATAATTAAACTCCAACACAAGTAGCTATAGCAATAGTCTTGGTTGCTTGAGCCAACTGTTAAAATATAGGCAAATAGAAATGAAAATGCAATCAGACACAATCTTACGTGTCAGCTAGCCAGATAATAAATTTTTGGCTTCTTGTCACCTTCTGTGGTTCTTTCAGCCTGTTGAGGAAGAGAAAACGAAAGATTACCAGGGCACAGTTTAAAATATTAAGATGTTCCTGCAAAAGGAACATGAAGAATTAATCTTGCAGTTTCTCAAATTAGAACAGCAATTTCACTACGACAGTGACTTAGAATTGGGTTACACAAGAGAATGCGCTGCATTTAAGAGAAGCGGCAGAGACGGGTATTCAGCAGCATTTTGAGTGCAGTATGATAAAAAAAGAGCATGTGAAAACTTGTATTTACCCTACTAATGACTTGCCTCTTGGCCTTAATCAGATTAATTTGTTCTCAACAAAGAGGAAGAAAAGTGCAAGAATTAGTTATTTGTATGGAACTGCTCCATATTACTATCTAGATGGCAAGTTGTAAAGGTATCTGTAGGAATAGGAAATGCTGTAAACACACAACACTGGTATACACAGGCACCCCACATGAACAAGTGAGTAACCTGGAGCTGGACAGCAACAGGTTAACTACAGAGGAGGAGGGTTCCACAGTTTTCTCTGAGGAATATACAGAAGTGCCTAAATTAACAAGAGTCTCCTCAGTCCAAGGATGCTGACTAAACCAGTGTTCAAGGTGGCATCATCATTCACTTGCTTTATTATCATTTCAGTGCAGCACCCACATATGGACTCAAACTCACTTGAGGATGATTGAAGGCATGGGAATCTCCAAGAATTCTTCCTTGAAAGGAATGAATGGCAGCAGACCGGTGTAGAACAGGCCAAGAAGCAGGAGGACACGTTGCAAACAGAAGATGATGGGAATATCAGCATTCTGCAGGAACCACGAAAGCAAGATTCTACATTACCTTGGTAGATAGTTGAGTCTGTTGCAATTAAGTTTATTCATCAGTACATATTTAAAGTTTAGCACTTGCGCCTAAAGATTAAGCTGCCAACTGTTTATGACATGCTTGCACTGAATTTAAATTACTCTTCCTTGTAACCTGTAATCCAAGCAACAGTTTTATGCAGTTTGAAGGAGCAACAAGGACCTGAAAAGGCAAAGTTTCACTGGCTGCAGTAATGTGTTTGTTACATGCCTTCACCATCTTTCCAGACTACACGTTCTCTGTCAGACAAGTATTATCACAAAGAAGAGGATGTGCTTTAGCACAGGACTTGTTACAGCTTGATATCACATTAAAATGTGTTGTGATACAAGTTGAAGATGCTGGTTTATGAACTAAAATATCTGGGTATTGATGTCACAAAAACGAACAAATTTAAGTGCTTTTCAGGTAAGAAATGGTGTTGTCCTGAATAGATAAATTAGAACAATATCCATACCCTCAACTAGATCAGTTTCACTCAGGTGCAGAACTCCTTTGGACTAAACAAAGTTTTAATTTAATTCTAAATGGTACTATTCCTCAAAAAATAAATAAACCAGAAATAACATCTACAGCTGTAAACCAGCTTTATACCAATGTAACTGTGCGTCAGCTAGTGGCCACATCCATTATTTTCATAAAAAGAGACAGACAATAAGCAATCCTTAGAAAAATTGCTTTTGTAGCAGATGAACAATGTGCAAACCAGCCTGTAACAGTTCCTGGCATAAAATCATGCCTCCCTAAATCTTACAGAACAAGAATAAAACATGATTAAGCTTAATATGGATGTTAACTGTGTTTGATTTATCCTAACAGCACAGTAAGCAGAATATATCTAAGCACAAAATTTCCCATCACATCTAGAAAGTCGGGCATAGCTGACTAAATATTGATTTACAGGGTGCTTTGCTGTACATTTTGTCACCACACAGTAACAAGCAAGCAAGAATGAAGCTTAGCTGGACCCGGTCTTACCTCCTTAAGACACTTTGATACAACCTCGTAATTGACATTCCCCCATACTGTCAAATGCTCTCGCTTATACTGACTCACCAGCTCAGAAACCTGCAACATAAAAAAGCAGAACCCTCAGATGTATTCACTGAAATTATGTGCAGCATTACCTAATGGAAACTCTACTTCCTACTTTCCAACTATGCAAGTCATTAACGATAGCTCTTCTATACCTTTTCCCATCTTAAGAGGATTGTGCTGCTTTGACTGGAAAGATACAAATGATCAGGTCAGCGGATAAAAGGAAAGACCATTATACCTAAATGTCATGGTTTAACCCCTGCCAGCAGCTAAGTACCACGCAGCTGCTCACTCCCTCCCCTCAGTACCCCAGTGGGATGGGGAGGAGAACCAGAATAAAAGGCAAAAGAATCTGGGTTGAGAGAACAGTTCGGTATTTGATGTAAAACATAACAAATAAAGAGAGGGGAATAAACCCCAAGACAAAATGAGTGATACATACTACAGCTGCTCACCACCTGCTGACCAATGCCCAGCATGTCCCCAAACAGTGATCACTGGCTCCCACCCAATCCCCCCCCTAAGTTTCAATACTGGGCATGACATGCTGTGGTATGGAATACCCCTTTGGCTAATTCAGGTCAGGTGTCCTGGCTGTGTTCTCTCCTGGCTTCTTGTGCCCCTACTCACTGACAGAGCATGAGAAATGACAAAGTTCTTGACTTCAGGTAAGCACTTCTTAGCAACAACTAAATCATTGGTGTGTTATCAACACTATTCTCATACTAAAGCTAAAACACAGCACTGTAGCAGGAAGAAAACTAACTCTACCTCAAATGCAACCAGGGCACTACAAAAAGCCCCCTAGAGAACTTAAGGAAACTCAATGGCAAAATAGTATCTGACGGAAAGCAGATCTCCTTTTCTGTGATGAGCTTTTATCTTTACATTGACACTTTGGTTTTATGCTCCTGCGGCAAGCAAGACCCTTCACATGAAGTACAAACCAAATGTGTCTCTAGCAGTGTAGCATCAGTTTCACGTCAATATAAAGGGTCAGTAAAGAGCTGCTTGCTGGATATTTTGCACGAGATCACTTCATACATGGAGCAAGATCTCACACATGAAGGATGAAGCAGCCCAAGAGCACAGACTGCCATTAATCCAAGAAACCAAGAAACTTCTTTGGAATTTCAACATCATTACGTGACATTCAGTCTCAGTTCAGCATGGATTGTCATGTACCTTTTTGATCAACACATTGTTGTTCACTTTGATGTCAATGTTGACAGGAGTCTGTGGAAATGCCTCAAACACCTCTTTCAGGAGTGGAATACGGTTATCTTTTCCCTCACAGTGACATTCTGGGAAAACAAGAAGGTTGTCACTGCTGTGGCCATTTTTAATATACCACAGATAAAAGCTGAGATGTCAGAGCACTTGTTACCTTAACATTTGAAAAAGTATATAGTTCCTAGATGTAGCATGTTTTTAAACTATTAAAAAATAGGAATTTATTTCACTTGGCTGTAATTCATTATGACAAGCTCATAATGAAAATGCCCTGAGCATACTGTACATTTAGGTTTTAACTTCATGAAATTCATTATTTAGCAACAGTAGGTGTGCAGGCATCGTTAAAAATCCTGAAATAGCAAACATGGGCTCAGTTAACACATACCAAATGCAATGAGATGACTATGGAATGTGACAAAATGACAAAAACTTCTTCTGCTGGGAAAATTACTGGATAAGCATCATGAGTAAAGGGCAGAGAAGGCAAAACCCCCAAACTTTATTGTATGAAACTGCTTATGGCTCTAATGAATTACCTGAAGGCTCTTGCCACTTCTTCGTATTTTAAGTATTTTGCAATTTTGAACAGAAAAGTTTAACACTAAATTTGCTTGCTGGTCAACTGAAATCTGGAAAGGTTGTACAAGACAGTCACAAACTCCCTCAAGCAGACACACTTGCTATCATCTCCATAGCCTTTCCTAGATGGCAATGTTCTCAATTTTAGCCTGTGTGCTTTATTCAAATTACAATCCCACAAATCAGTTTTCAGAAGAAAAGAGGTTATGTTTTTTAATACGTCTTCTTCTCTTGCAGCAATACTGGTACCGAACTTTGTCATACATATAGTAACTACTACTGCTCTTTTCATTTATCTTCTGAAGACATCTGTATTATCTGACATCTTGCAGTACTTCAGGCTCAGAGTGCACCAGCACAATGACACTTATATGGAAAAGAAACTTTCTTCTACCTTCTCTTTGTTTTTCAGGACAACAAATTTTCAATCAGCACCTTCTGGAGAACTCACAAGGGAAATAGAAAGCAGTTGCAAGAAGTAGACAAGCAAACAACTGAAATGTTTACTTGGAAGAGATATACAACATCTTAAACTTCATCACTGCCAAGTGATGTGGAAAAAAAAATCTATTTTTGTTTCTAAACCTAGGACTGTATTTTCCCTTTAAAACTTCTCTTATCAAGATACTGAGAGAAGCAAATCCTCTTTTCCCTTTGCCAATCTGAAATTGCCATACTACAATAATGGAAACTTACTTACTGTAAACTGAAAGAGCAGGAGACAAAAACTTACCTTTCTGAAAGGTGACATCCAGCTTGCAGAGATATGGTGGCAGTTCCTTAAAAATAAAGGGAAATGGAACACTAATTCAAATGTGGGAATGTAATCATCCATTTTTTTTGAAAAAGACAAAATAAAATATTCATAAGCCATGTAAGTTAACTTTAAAGACAAAACTTTTTTTAAAATCTTCTTGCCCACAAAGTAATTTATTTTATGACTGTGTTTATTCTTACTTGAACTATTTGGCATTCTTAGACTTGTGCTACCTGTAGCTGAATAAGTCAAAACATTTTACTGTAGTGACAGGACAAGGGGCAATGGGTTAAAACTTAAACAGGGGAAGTTTAGGTTGGATATAAGGAGGAAATTCTTTCCTGTTAGGGTGGTGAGGCACTGGAATAGGTTGCCCAGGGAGGCTGTGAATGCTCCATCCCTGGCGGTGTTCAAGGCCAGGCTGGACGAGGCCTTGGGTGATATGATTTAGCGTAAGGTGTCCCTGCCCACGGCAGGGGGGTTGGAACTGGATGATCTTAAGGTCCTTTCCAACCCTAACGATTCTATGATTCTATGATTTCCAGATACTTGTCTGAAAATTCTGATAATTCCATTTCAATATCAGATGGAAAGACAGTTCTGTAAAACAGACTTTTAAAATAGTAAATGCAGGTGGGATTCACCTGCCCATCGTCCCACTAAAAAGCTGGTCACACGAAAAGGAGCTTGTTGATTAAGCTGCCTTTGCCATCAGTATGGTAAAGCAGGCCTACCACCAGACAGGTCTTCAGCCTGCTCCTGGAAGGAGTTACCCTCTGGAAATGTGCTGGGTGTGATCCTCTGACTACACATGGAGCCAAGTTAAGTTGTTCTTTCAGTAAGACGAGATGAATCCTCTCAGATTTTGGATATTAGACATACATGCACATGAGCTCCCTGCCACCCCAGTCACTCCACACATTTTTAAACATCATCTAGCACTACTATTTTTTCCTTCAACTTACAGAGTATTTGAGGTCAGATATGTTGACATCAATTCCTGTTGATCGCTTCAAGTTCTCATCATGGGACACCACCACTTGCTCATCTTTTGTCAGGTGACAATCCAGCTCCAACATGTCTGTTCCTATATTAACCGCACTGGAAGCAAAGAAGCCTGCCTTGAATCATACATGTATTTGGTAAAGATCCAAAACTACCACATACATGTTATTCAACTAAACTAATCCCACTGGAATTACTTTGGATGCTTTATGATGCAATGATTCCTCACCATCTTGCTACAAAGTGAGAAGCAAGTAACTGCTGCAGTGAGAAAGCTGATTCAAGAACAAACAAGGTATCATGAATCAGAGACACAATTTAAGCTTTGGCTTCATCTTCCATAGAAATCAAGTAGCTGTCAAGTGCAGCTTACCACCTCAGGATTCAGAAACTGACTTCTAAAGTAATTTTCAGTGATGCTTATTAGGACCACTGGAAGAAGACAGCTCTTAAAAAAAACAATTTTGTGGGAAGCATAGACAACAAGTGACAGGGATGTGAAAGCCCTTTTTTACTTGATTTAAGTTAATCAGGAAATTAGCAATGGGGATTTTGGCTGGCAAAATGACATTTAAGAAAATTTAATATTGCAAATTTTTCATTAAAGTATTAAATTAAAAAAAAAAATACAAACCACTAGAAGCCAGTCATATTTTTCAAAGGAAAAAAAGATCTATTCCTGTTCCAATCTGCTGCTCTGAAGAGTTCTAATCCAATTCCAAATCCACTCTATCAAAGCTTAGCTCATAAGCATAAAGAAAGCAGAAAGCAGTAATAATATCGATGAAAAATAAGTACAGGAAACCTCACACTAGAGAAGAACTAACAAGAAGTGAATTGCTCATTTCCTTAGAAAAGATACTCAGAAGGTCCCAGCAGACAGCTGAAAGTCCTGCCCTGAGGCATTAACACTTCCCTCAAAACACCAGGGTATTCCTTTTTAACCACCTATGAACAAACCTGTAACATCTGAGAATACAGTTTATACAAGACCCAAAGCTCTGTGACTTCACTAGCAGCCTTTTCTTAAGTACAGATGCACCGCAAACATTTACAAATGCAGTAACAAAGCAAAACAAAAAACCATAATAAAATTGAATATACTCCTTTAAGTGTTTAACACAATTTCTGGTCCAGCTGGGATAATGACCAAGAAGACAGTTGTCAAATTAAAACCAATTTATTAACTGTTTCCCAGTGCCACTAATTAAGAATCAGGAGAGGAACAAAATCCTATTACATATGAAAGATACACAGCCTGTTCCATGTAATTTTGTCTCCTGAGGAACAGCATCTCCAAACACACTGCAGGAGATCTGCCAAATTTGTAGATGTTCCCAGCTAGTACCATGTATTATTAATTAACCAGCCAAATTTACTAGAAATATTACTGCTTAAGAAATTCAGGAGTGATGTTACATGGAAAAATGAGAACAACAACTTTCCTTGTTAACAAATCTGGGAATTTGCCAGGCTCTTACTAGCAGCTTGCTGCTAAATAAGCTCCCTTAAAGTGCCGAGTCTTTTCAGCTGGAAATCAGTTTGTTCTGCAGCTCTGTAATAACACATCAATGTACAGGACTCCAGAGAAGACTTCAGATCTCTCCAGATTCAGAAGAATGTGTTGGATTCAGATCCAACTGCTCCAGAACAAAAGTTGTGAAGCAGACTCCCATTTGCAAATTAAGATGATTGAGCTCTTTGCACCCGTGTTTAACTCCAACTGTTTTCAAGTAAAATGACATACCAGAAACTATCTAAGAAAAGCCTTACTTTGCAAATTAAATTCCACTAGGCAACACCTAATGTAGCACAATGTATAGAATTTATAAATACTAAGTTGATCTCATGCTTTTATTCCTGTATCTACAGTGTTTAAAGCTTTCTCTCTAAAGTACGTACATAAAAGAAAAGGAAATACAACAAGAAAATACCTGGAGAGTTTGCTTAGCAGCTTCCTGTCAAGACAATGCTGAAGTACATGCCTCTGTTAGGGACTACTAAACTAGTAATTAAATCCTTATGACATCTTTTATGCCAGATCCTCAAATACTTTAAGACACAAAGTGTCTCTCTTAGCTTAAGATCAGTTATTTTAAAATCTAAACCCACCACAGCAGCAATTAAATGCACTATAACATGATTACAGCCCCCCAGAAAACATCTATTAGTCATTTTACCATGCAAAAACAAAGAAGTACTATCTTTGGTACAAAAATCTTATAATTGCTTTCCAGAATATTTATAAATTAAGCTAGTTAGAGGCTGAAATTACCACTAAGGCCTCTCCTTTCATATGCTTTATGTACTACTATAATAATTTTTTCATGCAACAGTATTAAATATTCTCCAATTGCTGTTAAAGAGCTAATAGCATAAATAAAGCTATCTGCTTGTCAATACTTGGGTTACTGTTAATAAGGCAAATCCAAGGGGGTAGGTCTTATGCTGCAGACAAGCATCCTCTTTTGGATTCAACTACATCACTAGTCAAACATGGCTGTGTGTCCAAACCTGCAGAGACAGCTCTTGCAGGCTTCAAGCAAAATCTGATGCATAAAAATGATGGATTAGCTCATACGAGATCTCTGAGCCAATCTACGTTAATTTTTCACCACGCAGATCACCAATTTTCTCCCCAGTTCCTTTTGGTAGCTTACCAGTGGAGATAGGAATGAACAGATAAGAAGGACAAAGCCTTTACCCCTTGACAGAGGAAGCCAGAAGACTTTCTACTGCCTAATGCAGTAATTGCTCTGACTCTGCTTTCTGCAGGAGTACAATGCCTTTATACAATCAATCTCAAAGTAACTGAACTTTGACATCAGCAGCTGTGATGAGTTCAAAAAGCAGACCTCAACACATTTGTTACCACTGTAATAATTATAAATAATTAGATTGGTCAGAGGAGAGTCAGACAAATGTCTGTGTTACCACAAAACATTATCTGACTCCTGGCACAGTCCTTACTCCAAATACTACAACTCACTTCTGGGAATCAGATAAAAATAAGTTATGGTGTAACTCACTTTGCAAGAGCCCCATACATTTAAAACCAGTATAATACTAAATGAAAACTAAGAAATGGTTAAAAAGCAGAAACAGAAAAAACACACTTTCAGAAAACATAGTAGCAGACTTGAGAAAAGGCAGATCGGCAGGAAAAATACCCCAACAAACCAAAACACAAAAGTATGCTAAGCCTCCATGGAGATAGAAAATACTGCAGTGCTTTCAATAGCACTGCTCAGGGAAAGCTGGCACTCCTCAGCCTGCAAGGAAATGTGCAAACTGATGAGGCTACTTAGCAAAAAGCAGATTTAAAAAAAGCCCAAACCAATCAAAACAAAAAGAAGCCTAAGTAATTTGGTCACTTCTCACTGGCAGCTAGAGTTTTAGATAGGCTTCCTTTTGAAATGCCTTTGAGAACCTTGTTAGAATTCACTACTCTGGGGACCTAAAAGGCACAAGCTCCATTTTAAACCCTTAGATAAAAGGCTTTCACTTCACATATGTATAAAGGGAAAAAAACGCAACACAAACATTTTTAATAGATTTACAGAGGACTTCTTACAGCCATAACACCAGTCAACAGATTCAGACTTGCTGAAATCCAGCCTTGCATGCTAATTAGCTAATATGCTAACTGGTCTAGGATATGATCTGAAATACCTTTTGTGAAATATCAATGCATCTAGAAAAAACAGCTATTGGTTACAAAAAATAACTTTATAATGATACATAAATTAATAGAAGTAATCACCATTAAACATGGAAGCAGTATTGCTTCATGTTTTATTTAACACAGGAGGAATCAGGCCTCAGGGATTTTATTTCAAACGGCCAGTCTACCACGTTATCAGGTACAACTCATAGTTTGCAATATCCCAATTCCTTCCGGTTTAAATTGGAGTGATGTTTAGCAATCCACAGAAGTCACCCAAAGGAGAGATGACTTTCAGAAAGAGGACACTGCGCCCCAAACAACCGATGAAGTCATATCTTCATTGATTGCTTCACTCATGGGAAATAGGGACAACACCGCTGACTTAGACATTATTAGTTCCATTTGTACTCACTGGTGAAAGGCTGCCATCGTGTTTTCCAGGTTTTCTCCAGCACCTACAAAAGTAACAAAAACTAAAACATGTGAAAATTCCTTTTCCTCCCCTCAATCCCAGTGCAAATACGTAATTTAAAAAAAATAATAAATAAAATATGTATATTTTGAGGAAATATTTGGAGGTAGTATGAAGCTAGAGTCAGAAATCCTTGTTGCCACTAACTTACTGGGGAGACCCAAGAGACAGAACTTCTGGAAGGGAAGGGGGAGAACACTTATCTTGGATTTTGTGTAACAAAATGTGTCTTGGCTTGTTTTACCAGAGGTTGGATATCGTTTTTCCTTAAAGGCACTGTATCTGGCTGTAACAATATGCTCCACAAGCATAGCAACAGTATATGCAAAATGTCTACTCCCACTAACTCTGAAGTAACACAAGGAAAGGTGACAAGAGGAAAGAAAGAAAGAAATACCAACCCAAAACAAAAGGGAAAGAAAAAAGTGCCCAAGAGTCTTTAAAGCTGATATTCCCTAAACGTGTGACCCAGTTGATGCTCAAAGAGGCAACAACCTCCTTTCTCAGTGCAAGAATACATCTTGAAACAGCACAAATCTGTCAGTGACGGCTTGTACTGCTGGCAAAAGGAGGCCTTGTACACAAGAAATGAAACACACATCAACTCCAGTTAAGAAATGAAGGCACAAGCATTTTCTCTCAGGCAGGAGTAAACTCTTTAAGCCATCATTCTCACCATAAAAATCTTTGAAAGTCAGCCTGGTTAGGGAGTGCAAAAGCTTGTTTGTGCATTCTTCCTCCCTCAAAAAACTGGCAGTATTATAGACTGAATTCCAACTTCAGGAAGATCCACGTACCAACGAGGATATCAATGCAAATTTTAAGTACCCATTGACAGTGATGAATGACAGACTTTGTAAACAACAATTATAAAAGCTCCAATTAAGGCTTTGCCTATTAATGAGGCCTCATCAGTACATCCTTACACAAGTCTGTGCTTAGTTACTTAATGAAAGCGATGCAATTCTATGCAGACACAACTAGCAATTTAATATTGTTATCAGGTGAGCTTGCATTGGAAGCTCAGACAACAAAAGACTTAACTGACTTACAATGACACAATCTGTGTTGTTTATCATGAACCGATACAGTAAATCCACAGCAGCTTCTGTGGTCAGGCATTCACTAATATTTTATGGAATTTGAGGGCAGAACTAGGAATAAGCCAAGTGGCAAAAGTGACTGGGGGATAGAGTAGAGCATGAGAATCTTGTTGTATACTTTGATGATTGCCTAATAGATGGGGAAAACCCGCACAGGACTTGGATGGTCAGTTACAAGTTAACTGCAATAAAATTAAGTTTTTAGATAACTTATCAATTGTGACAACTCAGCCCATGCATCCTGCATGTAAGAGAGGGGAAAAAATCCTGAGTCAGCCTTCAATTTGTGAACAAACCAACAGTATCCTAACATTCCTGGGCAGAAAGTCCCAAAAATACAACTTAAAAGTGACTCATTTGACAAGTCACCTGTTAGGGAGGTAGGTATGGCAAGTCAAACCAGTTGGTAACAAAAAGCCTGACTTGTAGAGTTCTTTGAAAATGAGGAAAAAAATTGAGAGATCAGCTGAAACAGGAATTCTAGGTTAGCAACATGGCTTCCACAAACCACACTCAGAAAAGGGAACTAAGACAAGCGAGTGATTTTGATGTGTTAAATCATTTTTCCTCCTTAAAAATGAAAATGCTGGGCTGACCAAAGGGCTTCTGACAGGTACTTAAATGCACCTCCGGATCCATGTCTCATCCACTTATGTTATTGCATTTCCCACACAGAAATCACCTTCCCCAGCAAACTTCAGCATCCTATGAGCCAAAATGTGATGTCAAAAAATTGCGATTATATATTCTAACTTTGAAAGCACTACCATGGGACAAGATGGAGTCAATGTCAGGCACCGACTCAAGGAGGGTTCTTCCCCTTGATGTAAGCAAAACAGGCTGTTAGGAAGAATACTGCCAGCAGGTCAAAGGAGGTGACTGTCGTCCTCTACTCAGCACCAGTGAAATCACATCTAGAATGACATGCCCAGTTCTGGGCTCCAAAGTACAAGACAGACACGGATCTACTCATACAAGTCCATAGAAAATAAAGGATGCTGTGAAAATTAAGGAATAAAAGATTCTTGCATACAGTGAGAGGCTGAGAGCACTGGAATGTTTAGCCTGGAGAAGAGAAGCTTTGGAGGATATTACCCACATGTAAAAATACCAGATGGGAGGAAGTAAAGAAGACTGCGCCAGACTTTCCTCCGTGGTGCCCAGGGAAAGGGCAACAGGAACAAATTGAAATACAGGAAACACGGTTTATAAACATAAGAAAAAACCTTTCTTATTGCAAGAGTTATCAAACTCTGGAATAGGCTGCCCAGAGAGGCTGTGAAGCTTCTGTCCTTGGATGTATTCAAAACCTAACTTGACAAGGTTGTGAACAACCTGCTGTAGTCACCCTTGGTCTGGTCTGGTCAGATGAGATGATCCCCAGAGGTCCCTTCTAATATCAACTCTTCTGTGATTCTGTAAAAATCATCATGCTACCTTGCCTCAAAGGCCCTGTAACCTAATCCATGAAGCCGGCACTGGCAGAGGACTCTTAACACAGAACATCAAGACCTCATTACTGTTCTCAGAAGTGACTAATTTTAAAATTATAGAGAAGTGAAGAAATAATTCAGGGATGCTTGCATTGATGAGCTATAAACAAACATAAGAACATTCCTGTGTGAAGAAAGAAGCAAAATCAAAACCCACAGACTTAAACTTCAGAACAGAAAAAGCCAAACAAGTTAAGCGTTACCTTGATCTATTAAGTTAACAGGAGTAATGCAATAGGCAACCTCACAATGCGTCTAAAGCTACAGCATGACTAAAGCTCGATGAGAACTTAAGCCCCACAGGAATCTAAGTTACAAGGTAAACACTACAGAGAGTAGAGAGTAAGTGATCTTCAGTCTCACAGTACCCAACAGCCAGCAAGCTGCCCAAATGCTAAGGGCTGTACCTCCACCACAGGTGTATTTCACACTACACAGGCACAGAACAACTCAAAGGCTGTGGACTTTGTCTCTGAACACATAATGAATAATCCTCCTATTGAGTAAGGCTTTCCTGTTGTTCCAATGGTGCTTAGTGCAACTAGTCAAAACACCTCCTCTCCAGGCTCAGGGCTGTATTATCTTAACTAAGGTCACTGCAAAGAAGTGAAAACAAAAGCAAGCTCCAAAGTCATCTGCAAGTTTTTAAATAGCTAGCAAATTAACAAACAAACAGGTAACAATCAAAACTGAGAACCTTTGCTCATGGAATGAAAAAACACCAGGAAACAGCTAATATATGCACCCCAAAGCAAAAGGTGCCTTTCACGCGATACTTAAAACTAGAGTGACGACAAAACTTAATCTGATGTATAAACAAAATAAATGCGAGGAATAAAATCTGTAAGAGATAAGCTCTAGCTTTTGTATTTTGATAAGTCAAGGCAGTAGTTAAGGACCATTGGCTACAAACGTGATCAAACACAGCACTGAGATGTGACACCGAAAGCTGGTTAAACTCGGCACCTGACATATCTCCCATGCTTACTAGAAAAGTGACTTTTCATGAACTAAATGAGGCAGAAGGGGAAAGCGCGGAACTGATCTTCACAGGACAGGAAAATACAATTTCCTGTATTTTTTTCCTCCCAATACTTACGAAAAGGTAGAAGAAACTTTAAAACCATCTTTCCGTTTTAGACAGATTCAAGCAGCCCACCCACAAGGCCTTGGCACAAGGTGTGCGGGGGAGACAAAACTCTCAAAATGGGATCGGTTTCACCACAGCACTGAACCATTTAAACAGTCTCCAACTGCAAGGGGCGCAAGAACAAAGTCACGGCAAACCGCGTTTCTTCTGAAATCAGAAAGCAAAGCAAATAGGCGTTTAGAGGCAAGAATATTCACCTTTGGACCTGGTTTAAGCAACAGTCAGTCACCTCTCTCATTAGGAGAAATGCCATAGTTCAGAATCATTAAAGCAAATAATATGTACGTTTGAGACCCACGTAACACCTGCAGTTTTCGGCTGACGCGTTCCGGGTTCGCAGATTGATTCAGCTCTGAAATCAAGCACCGGTCAGCAGGTGGCTCCTAAAATTAGGCTGCGGGAGGAAGGTCTGAAGGGAGCCCGCTGCGAGCGGCGGGCAGCGCCCAGGGGCCCTTCAGCACCCTCCGCACGGCTCCGGAGCGGCCGCCCTGAGGCAGCGGGGAGCCGCGGGAGCCCCTCAGCCCCCAGCCCACCTGAGGGGAGGGCGGGAAGCGGCGCCCCGGGGCCGCAGCGGGCAGACCCCCCCCCGCATCCCGTCACTCACCGCCGCGGTGGGAGATGTGCCGGCAACGGAAGCGCTGCCGCTTGGGCCGGTGGAGCAGCCCCGGACACTTGAGGAGCAGCGCCGAGGTGAGGACGTATCCGCCCAGCGTGGAGAGCACGTACAGCGCCGCCGACATCCTGCGCCTCTCGCCGGCTGTGTCCCGCTGCCCGCCCGGCTCGTCCCGTCCCGTCCCACCCCGCTCCCGGCTCTCAGCGAGGCGCCACCGCCGCGCAGCCGCACCGCCACCCCCAGTGCGCAGGCGCAGGGAACCCTGCCCTACCCGCCGGCGGCTCGGCGCCGGGCTGAGGCGGGTGGAGCGGGGCAGGGCCCTCGGCCGCCCTCACGCCCTGCGCCGGTGGAAGCGGTCCGCAAACGCCGCCGGCCGTTCCCGGCTGCACGCGTTAATTCCTCGTCTCGCTTTCCCCGGGGCATGGCCGCGTCCCTCAGAGATAACCGTTCTCTGCAGCGCTGCTCATCTTGGCGCTTGAGCACCGCTCAGTGCTTGGTAACCCCGGAGGTTACTCGTGAGGAGGATCATGAGGTACCGTTGGCTTCACTGGTTAACACCCAGCTGATTGGAGATGTACTGAACACAGAGCAAGTCTCAGCTCTGGTCAGGCAGTGTAATTACTGTATTACAGCAAATTAAATTCTGTATGCATGCTAATTAAAAACAGAGATTCTAGAAATTCAGTTAGGCCTCCACCTGCAGCCACTGGCACTGATGCATCTTACCTCAAGTAAAAGTTAGGAGTTCATTGACCATGATTAACGTTTTGGCACCGGCAGTCACGTGCAAAGCTCGGGGGGTTTCAGCCGCCTCTTAGCCCATCCTGCAGCACATCTGGGAACCAAACTCCCTCAATCTGAGATTCAAACCAGGCCAAAGCTGTCCTTTCACAAGAAGTCTGTTTAATCACTGCAAGACAAGCTACACTGACAAGTTGCTTACAAGGAACAAGCTCTACGTTTTCCATAATTCCATACCAGCAGGTTTAGTTTCCAAAGAGATCTGACATTCCAAAATATTAAGTTGGCCTTTTAACAAAATCTGACCTGTGAATACAAATACAGTAAAATATCTCACCTTGATATGGGTAAGCCCAGATTCTGACTTTGGTATTAATACAAATCAGAACTGAAATCCCTGTAATTTAAGATAAGAAAAAAGGCAACCCACATTAAAAGCATCTATTGTTTACACAGAAATAGCTTGTTTAGGAAAAGATGAAAGATTCAGCTCATTATTGGCTCAGTATGACAAAAGAAACTTGATTTCAGGCAATACTAATTCTTAAATATTCCTAACTGTGTGTCTAGAAGGATAGGATGGAGAAAAGCACAATTCTCAAAACGTGGTAGTACAGGCTCAGCACGCTGCCAACCAGCTTTTATTTTTTTACATACAAAAATTTAATAAATGGAAAATTCCCATGTGTCTGATTCCTTCCTCTGCTTTGATACCAGACCTTCTTTCCAACCGACTGTGTTCCAGCAAAATACAGCAGCCCTCACAAGACTGCATCGATAGCTGTTAGGTAACAGACATGAATTAAAATCCATTTGGGTTGAAGACAGTCTTTTCAAACAAAACCCAATCCACCAGAATAATTGCTATTGTGTAACCGCTTTCAGTATCCCTCGGAGGACTTTGTAACTCATTAGTTGTTGGCTTTCTTTGGGAGGAAAGCAGGGGCCACGTTCTGTAACATATGCATAAGGAAACCTCAAAACCCATAGTCCGTCAGAGGGGAGCGTTATCTCCTGCTTCTCAGGGTAAAACACGGGGCAAGGTGGTGGCCCTGGCTGAACCTGAAATGAAAAGGAAGCATGAGCAGATAGTGAAACATCATTAGAATTAGAACAAAAAAAGCAAACAAAATAACAAAAAATACTTCAGGAAACCACTGTGCCGTTATTGTGAGACTCCATTTCCAGTTTTACCAGAGCGAAGATGTCAAATTTAAGGCTGCAGATTACATCCTACCAAAGAGATCCCCAATACAAACACAAGCCATTCGTGCCTTAGGGCATTAAAACTGGATTTCAATACTGCACTGCAGTTATCCATCCCCAAGCTGTTACCTCCCTCTAAATCAATGGGAATTTTCAAGGATTTCAGCAGCATTTAATAGGGCCTTTGTATAATTCACATTAGAAGCTTCAGAAAGTCTTATTCACATGAGAAACTGATGTGTGAAAGCCACACCATATAGCATCATAGATATTCATAATAAAAACACTCCCTTAGAAGTCAAAAGCTGTCCTACAGACCTAAGTTGGGAACGAAGAGCAAAGTAAGTATCAGCACAAACTGAACCTTCAATGTTTGCCTCAGTTTCAAACAATAACATGATAAATTGCAAATGGCATTTAAATGCTGGTGCTGCAGTCAGCATTCTGCCTTTAACTTCCACAGCAAAACAGGTTCTTATGGAGCTTTTTCTCCATTTTTTTTAATACATATTTAAAAACAAAATCCAACTAAAAACTAAACATCATTTCACCTCCTAAATTCAAAGGGTTACTAAGAGTAATCAAACTCAGCAATGAGTGGCTTCTTTTCTCTGACATTTAAAATGATTATTCATTCTTCTTATTAGCCACTTGTTCCCTTTTTTAAAAGAAGCAATTATTACAGCATGGAATGCCATTTATTCATCCTTGATAAAGTATTTTTTAAAGCTTACTTTACACAAAGTATAAAGCTGCCATAAACCAATCCTAAAGTTTAAAAAGAACCACACTGTTTATGAAACTGCTACATTTGGTGACTAGTGCCTTAGAGAACTCATTTGAAGTAGGTTTTGAGTCAGGAGTCTCCTGTAGCACCCCACTGACACCCTTTGCCTACCATGCTAGTGCTTTTTAGACCTGCAACTAATGCTGCACGAATCAACCCTGTCTGCACTCACCAGATTCCCTTTAATTTCTTACCTGAGGCGTTAGTGTAATCTGCAGTGGAGCATCAGGAACCACCACAAAGAGCCTCATGAACTGAGCATAATGTGGCTTCAGTCCCCGTCCCTGCGTCGAGGACAGGATATATAGTGGCATGTCAGAATTGAGGGCTTTGATGGCAGATTCCTTTGGCCCCCCTCCCATCACTTTCATGACCTTATCAGGCCCTGAACACATGAACCTCCTTCCACGTGCATCTTCATATTCAAATCCTACAAAAGCTCGAGCTATGTCATCTCTCCGTCTTCCTCTTCCCATCACAACCGCGCTTCTTTTTCCAGGAACAGCCTTGTTAGGTGCAGGCCAGGAATTGGTATCTAAGTCCCCTTCATCTTCAGTTCTTGTCCTGATGACAATGTCCCAAGGCATTAAATAGTTTGTTCCTGGGATAAAGCCTTGTTGATCTAAGCCTGTGTGGAAGTTATAAGCCTTAGCAGGCCCCAGCTTAACCAGTGACCAGCTGGAGAACTTGGGCAAAAGGCCTTTGGGGCAATTGGAGTGGAGCATCCCAGGGAGGTACTCAACAGTGGAGGCCTGGCGATCGACCAGACTCGGCCTTTTCTCACTTTTGCAGTCCCCGCTCTGCCCATGATTTTCTGTGTTGTCCCCTCCACCCTGGGCATCAGGCGGGTAAGTGCCCAAGCTGCCCGTTGACTGTCCCAGGCTGAGGGCTAAGCTCAGGCCTGTGCTTTCCCCCTGAGTCTGAGGTTCTTTTTCCTTTAGTTTCTCAATCTCGCCTTCTGGAGGGGCAGGTGACGACTCATCCCGAGCAGGCGCCGGATCAGGTGTGCTTGGCTGGAATACAGGAAAATTGATGTGCTCCAGTTTCCCACAGCATTTTTCTTCCAGCAGCTATGAGAAAGAAAACGTGGTTAACTTTCCATCTTCCACTTCCGAGATGTGAGAGTTCAGTCATAACATGCAGCAGCTACAATTAAGATTCAAGAGATTTGCACTATGTGATAACCAAAGCAGTGATGGGAATGCAGCCCACAGACACAATGAATTTCAAATTCACATGAACCAACACACTTGAAGTGTAAATAGATGCTCCTGTGTACATGCACTGGTGAAGACTTGCACTGCCTGCTCTGGTCAGCCCACCATGCAAAAAACTCCTTCTCCCAGAAATATCTTCCCCAGGCAACATCTGTAAGTTTATAAGGTGAAGAGAAACTTCACTTCAGAATACAGACTTTGTCAATGAAGCAAAAACACTGCTTGATGCAAAAATAGGGATCCAATAGTTACCTGGTAAAAGTCATAATTAGCTGCTTTGATATCAAAGGGATCATCCCGTGGAGCTTGTTTCCTTCCACAGTTACAGGCACCAGTGGAACGAGCCCGGCTGTTGTGGTACAGAACTGGAGGGTTTCTGTCTGCTTCTGGCTTTTCCCCTAAAAGCAAAATCAATCAAACCCCAGGTGAATTGCTCCCAATTTCTAGAGATTCTTTAGTTCCCTTCATCCACTGCTTCCTCCTTGCTATATATATAATTATTTGCCAGCAATGCCAGTTTGTCAAGCAACACATTCCTTTCTCACTTAAAGTTCCAGTGTAGGTTATACCATTAAACTGAACTTTCTTTGGTTTTACAGTCTTTTCATAAAAGGCATAAATACTCCTGCCTGCAATGAATATGTATCAGACAGTTTCTACTCCTTGACTGGTATCAGTCAATCTATTGAAGGGGGAGCACTTATACTTCCTAGGGAACTTCTGTTCTCTTACACATCTGCTGTTAGGAGGACTATAGTGTAATGCTTCTAATTAGCAAAACGGAAACAGAGTTACTACTAAAATCCAAATTACTACTGCCAGTGGACTCACTCCTAAATATCACTCAATGTAAAAGAAACCTGTACAACAGCTTTGCTGTAATTAATCCCCCTGTAAGAAGATGACACTTTAAAGCTGCCAAGCTTTTAGCTTCCACAAACATGCAAAGAGTTGGCATTTTCAGCCTAAAATATTCTAAAGCAGATATAAAATTAAACCATGAAACCCAAGGGAGCTTCTTTACCTGCTTTTGGGAGCAGATGAAACTTATGCACACAGTGTTGGTCAGTTAAACTTCGCTCTTCGCAGAGCTGATGCCCGTTGCTCCAGAACTTGTAGCAGTCCTCATTCAGCTGCATGGCGTACTTATGAAAGGCCGGCCCACGGGCGTGCTGGCTGTACACACGCAAGGCCTGTGCCAGCTGGTTCTTG